GTCAAGTACAGTCGCAGCTTCGATCGCAGTGTGCTTGCCCCGTGGCTTCTGGAAAGGCAAGCAACCCACGGTTGGCGAGACCTTGTGTGCACTAGCCCGATGAATGATATTGTTGAACAAACTATCGATTTATCGACCACGGTTTATCCTGATGGTACTGCCCATAAGGTCGGCGCACCCACCGCGCAACACATGGCTGATCAAGTCTGCTCAGCTACTGCAAGTCTATCCCGTCACCTTGCAGTGGCTGGTGGCGCTTTGAATGTAGACAAGCAGGTTGCAGTGCCTCCTTTTGTTGTGCCTGGCGCTTTTGGTGAGTCTTGCTCGTTTACTGATCCTGTCCGTTGTCTACCAGGTCGTAGCAGCACGCATGCAAAGTATCTAGGTGCACAATATCATGGCGCGGGTACGTACCACAGCACAGCAGCGGCACGCTATACAAAAGAGTAGGATGAGCGCATGGTATGCCATGGGGCGGTTCTGGTATGTTAATCATGTTCCACTACGTATACAGCTTCTTGCATTTCAGGCGCGTGCGCAGGCAGCAGGACCCAGCGGCCTCGAGGCCTGCATTCCCTCGGCGAGCGGCTATATGCTTATAGGCGGCCTATTTTTACAGTGCGGCCGCGCGCTGCTGAAGGGTGCTGCAGTTGTGAAGATCGCGCAAGACGACGGCACCATCAAGCATATTTCGCTCTCGGCTGTGCGTATCTGGACCAAGCTTGGCTTAGTCTCCTCGCAGCTAGAACTCCGTATCCGACGGCCACGCTGGCTGCAAGAGATTGTCGCCCACCGCTCCGAGAACAAACAGCTACTAGCAGCGATCTTTGGGCAGATGCGCGGCGAAGAATGCACTACCTGTGAAACTGGTCTTCTTACTCGGGGCGACGCTGGTCAGGTTCGTGGGCCCCCCTGGGCCCTTCAAGCTCTCAATGGCCCCAAACTCATGGTGCATGTTGAAAAGGGCTCCGAGTTTTCACCGAGAGCTTTCACCGACGAGTTCAGCACGAGGTTTCACACACTAAACCTGGGCAAGCTCCGCAACAGGTTCTGGGGGGGGGAGATCGATGAGGCGGGCGAGAGACGGGCGGGGGCGGCGCGGGGCGGGGCGGGGTGGGGCGGGGGGGGGGGGGGGCGGTGGAGGAGCTGCTGCTGCAGGAGGAGGAGGCGAACAGCGCGATCTTGACCCAGTACCCCCTCCTCGAGTTTGGCGTTGCAATGAGACGAAAGCAGATGGTTCAGGGTGCGGGCTGGAGTTTCATGATCAACGGGGCTGGTACGCACGCGTGCGTTTTTGCACGGAGGGTAGTCACGGTCATCGGGCCCTCTCCCAGCTCCTCACGGTCACGAATCAGTGCCCCTGGTGCATGAGCACGCAATCGATCGTCGCGATCTCTCGTCAGCACGTTCGACGCCTATTTCTCAAGCGCAGCTGTCAATGCGATCGATCCCCGATGCATCACGAGCCGATTTTACCACCCACGTTTGAGTGCCCAGCCTGCAGCAGGGATCATCCGTCGCTCGAGGCTCTGCAGGGACATGTACGCACGCATATACATCTGTCCGACGCCACCTTCTCTTTCGCCGCATCTCATGTCGTGGGCGATGCCAGCCGGCCAGACGGAGCTGAACCAGGCGAAGAAGCGCCTAGCCGATTCTCAGACGAACTCGTTCAGCGCTGGAGGCAGCGGCAAGCAGCACGAGCCGCGCGACTCCAAGAGCCGCCGCCAGCACTCCCCCAGGGGGGCCGCCGACACGGCCATGGCGGAGGACAGCGACACGGACGGCGAGACTGCGACCGAGTCGATGAAAGGAGCTCTCAACACCGCACAGCGTCAACGAGCAGTCGAAGGATGCCTCTTCAGCACGCACTTGCTGCCGAAAGAACAGCATCAACTTCGCCGCCGTCGGAGCCGCTCAGAAGTACTCAGACACGGTGAAGGACAAGCCCGCGGACCACGGACTGGGCCCTCCCAGCTAGCAGGTGAGCTTGGCGGTTCTCGAGTCGCTGATCAACCAGGAAGCGCTGAAGCAGAACCCGAACCTGCAGGAGCACGTGCAGTCCGTGACGAAGCTCATCCAGCACGTGAAGGTGCAGCCGATGGCCGTGGCATGCGAGACGCTACGCTACTGGAAGGCGAAGACCGCCTTCGTGAAGGAAGGAGCTCCGCCTCTCGTCCGCCACGCCTTCTTCGTCAACTCGTGGGTTCAGGGACCTGGAGGCCGGATGGTTCCTCTGAATTCGGTTCTCACGGCCCTGTTCATGGCCCTCGGGAGCACGCCGAAGCTTGGCCCCCCACCGAAAACCACCCAGGAGCGCCGAGTTCAGAATTCGCTGGAGAAAATGCTTCGCGGAGCCCGCCACAGGAAGTCCTAGTAGAATCTCGGCGGGCCCTGGGTTCGATCTCTGAGCGCGGGTTGGCGCAGTTTCAAGGTGAGTGGGAGCCGCTGATGCGTCCCAAAGGCCGAGGCAGACATAGAGGCCGTGGGAAAGGATCTGGAAATTCTAAGGGTAAGTAGTTCGTTCGAATGCAGTCTTTGGTTGAATTGCTGGGGATTCGAGCGAGGTGGTTCCTCGTCTACTGCCCCACTGGTGCCCCAGCCTAGGCATAGTGGCCTGGCTGGCCTATCTCTCCCCCTCTTGTCCTCTGCTGCTGCCGCCCCTGGCTGCCGCCGCTGTCACTCTTGTCCGCTCTGCGTCTCCGAGATTTTGTCTGTGTATGCGCGTACAGGCCTCTCGACCCTGTGTTGCAATCAGGGAGTCCCCAAGCTGATTGCTGGGGGAGGGGCTCCCCCTGTGTTTTGACATCGGCGGGAGCATAGTGCTTCCCGAACGCCCTGCGGCCAACTTCGATTCACGAACTGTGAGAACCTGGCCATGCGCAGATTGCGAGCGAGCGAGCCTTGTCCTCCCCCTCCTCCCCCTCCTCCTCCTCCTCCTCCTCCTCCTCCTCCTCCTCCTCCTCCTCCTCCTCCCCCTCCTCCCTGAATGTGGTGGCGTCTACCCGGCCGGCCACGTTCGCTTTCTGCAGCTATTGAGTTTCAACTGATTGGTGCCGTGGTAGCCCCCTCGAGTGGAAGCGGATCTGCCTCTTATCATGTCGTGTTTCCGACTCCCCGGCACGATATGCGAGATGGACAGTCAGCGGGCGTATGCGTCGTCTCTCTCTCGCCTCTTCCGCCCCCTCTCCAAACTTTGCGCTGGAAAAAAGATAACGGCGCAGCGTAGGAGAGCGCGGCGCTGGAGGAAGCTTCGGCAGCACGAACACGAGCAGGACAGGCACGAAGGGTGAGGCGACCACGGGTCTTCTCAAGCTTCGAGCCCTGCTTACAAAATGCACAACGCCAAATCGCACGGCCTGCCACAGGCCGAAAAACATGTCTGAGCTCATGTGGGCCCTCGGGTTGTTCAGCTTATTTGGCCTGGCGCGGCCTGGCACGGGGTTTCGCACGCGGACGCGTCTGAAACCTCTGGCCTCCCTGACGAGGAGGGGAGGAGGAGGAGGAGGAGGAGGAGGAGGAGGAGGAGGAGGAGGGAGGAGGAGGGAGGAGGAGGAGGACGAGGAGGAGGCGGGGGAGGAGGAGGAGGAGGAGGAGGAGCAGGAGGAGGAGGAAGAGGAGGAGGAGGAGGAGGAGGAGGAGGAGCGCAGGAGCAGGAGGAGAGAGGATTCATGAAGGGGAGAGCACGGGCAGGATCGGGAGCGGCAGCAAGGATGAGCGGGGCACCGGTGCACGACGGGGAGGGGAAGGGAGAGCCTGCCGGAAAGGCAGGGGGAGGAGTGCACGAGCAGGTGCAGGAGCAGGAGTTGGGGAGAGGCCAGGGGCGAGTGAGAGCGGAAGAGCAGTCCAGAGCCCCGTCCTGCTCGAGGCGACGGCGGGCCACTCTCGGTCGACGGACCGCCTGGTGGTGGCTCGGAAGGGGCCCCGGGATGGGGGGTGGGGGGCGGGCAGGGGAGGGAGCGAAGGACCCACCTGCGCCCTCCCAGGGGGCCCCTCCTCGAGTCCCTCCCGCCGCGCCCTCCTCCCCCTTCCCCCTCTATGTTGTAACATCTGATTTACATGTGCAAATGGTTGTTCAATGCCATATTTACTTGTTTATTTCACCTGATCTTTAGACGTGCAGTTAGATTAGCATGGTAGCGACATTGACCACAGTACAGCCGTGTGACAACCGCAGGAGGAGTAGAAGGACGATGACGAGGGAGGGGGAGGGGGAGGGGGCCGAGGCGGATATAGGCTCCGCAATGCCCACATGCAGCGCACTTTGCAATATCGCCGATCAGACGAGCGAGAGCGAGAGCCGTAAAATGTGGCGCAGTTGTGACTAGAACCTAAGCGCGCGCGAAGCGCGTGCGTGTTTCTAGTACAATATCTGGTTGCGCGAAGTTGCCTGTATAGGTGGTATTTGACGCGTCCTATATACGAGCAGCTGGGCCTTCCCAGCAAAGTCACCAAGGCAGAGCTTGACGCGCGAAGTCGAACGCTTCTCGCCTCTGCGGCCGCGCCCGCACAGAGCGGGCCCCTGGACGGCCAGGCCGGTCGCATGGCGACCGGACGTTTCTCGTTCGTCCCCCCGTTCCTTTCCCCTCCTCTTCGCTTTGCCCTCTCCCCCCCTCCCCTCCAGGGAAACAAGCATGTGGCTCGTAACCAAGACGTCGCGGGATCTTGTCGATGCCAACCTTGGTCCTGGTCCATGTCGGCGGTCGCCGATTCGTGAGGATGATTCACGAACTGACGCTGACCAAGGATCGACGGTGAGCAAGATCGACACGACGTTTCCGCGTTCAGTCCTGGTCATAGTCCCCAGTTTCTTCCCCTCCATCCCCTGTCCCTTGCTGCCCCATCCCACCTCGCACTCCCTCCTTTCTCGCTCTCCTCGCTGCCCTCCGTTCCCTCGAAGCACACACTCATCCCCGCCGCGTCGCCCCATCCCACCCCGTCGCCACCCCTCCCGGACTGCCGACCGCGGCTCCCGCCTCTGTGGCCCCTCTCCGAAGGAGCTCCCACGCTTGCTCGGCGGCGCCCACGCCGCGACCGCGCCGTGCAAGGCGTTCCCCCCTCCTCCGTTCTTCCTCCTCCTCCTCGCTGATTCCTGGTTCCTCCTCCGTTCTTCCTCCTCCTCCTCCGTTCTTCCTCCTCCTCGCTGATTCCTGGTTCCTGATTCCTGATGGCTGTGAAGAACGTCCTTCGTGGCCCTGCCCCCCCCCCAAGGGCCGGTCGGCCCTGGGAGGGTCGAACTGATGCCAGGCGACTCCTGGAGCAGTGCTCCAGGGGTCGCCAGGCAGTAAGACGTGAAGGAGGAGACTTCTCCTCGCTCCTCGCTCCTCCTCCTCCTCCTCCTCCTCCTCCTCCTCCTTGTTCCTCCTCCTCCTCCTCCTCCTCCGCCTCCTTGTTCCTCCTGGTTTTCCTCGTTCTTCCTCCTCGTTCCTCCTCCTCGTTCCTCCTCCTCGTTCCTCCTCGTTCCTCCTCCTCCTCCTCCTCCTCCTCCTTGTTCCTCCTCCTCCTCCTCCTCCAATCGCAGCCGCCCCAATCGCAGCCACCGCCGCTGCTGCCATAGAGTGTCCAGGGATGTGGCCAGGGAGCTCTTGAGGCGGTGGTTTGGGTCGGGTCGGCCAAACCTCTTCCTTCTCTTCGGTCGGTGCTCCTCATCCTCCTTGTTCTTCTCAACCTCCTCCTCCTCCTCCTCCCCCTCCTCCTCCTCCTCCTCCTCCTCGTTCCTCCTTCTCCTCGCCCTCACCAGCTTTGCTCTCGCATGCTGTTGCCCGCGGCTGTATCCGCGCCCGCTTTTTGTTGCGCTCTGCGCGGCGGCCGCCGTCCCTCTGCGGGTCGCCGCCCTCTCGCCACCGTCCTGGCGCCGCCCTCCGTGCAGCGGCTCGGAGGCGCCGCCAGGTCGGGGCCCAGGCGTCTGGGCGGGGAGCTGGGACTCGGAGGGGGTGCGCCATGCCGAGCAGCGGTGCGGCGCCCCGGCTTTCCTGTAGGCCCACCAGGGAATGTGCTAGGAACTTCGTGTGCCTTGCGCGCCGCGTTCTGGGAACACGTCTGGCCGAGCCCGTCTTCGTTCGATGCATCGGCCGCCTGTTCTGAGACGCTCGGTTTTTGGTTTCTGGGAGCATTCCAGCGTCCGAAGAGTGTTTCGTGGTAGGGCCTGGGCGTCTGGATACCCTGAGACCCGACGCTCGCCCCAACCAGGGGGCGTGCGGTCTTTGGCCGTTCTCGGCATCCTGGGGGCCCTCGCGGGGCCTCGGGAGCGTCTGAAAGCGACTCGGGGCGTAACGCCGTGCCCAGGGAGGAGGTCTGGACGGGGCCCGCGCATCAACAAACGCTGGAGCAGCCGGGTGTCTGGGTAGGGAGCTGGGATTCGGAGGGGGTTGCGCGCCATGGTGCGCTTACTCCTTCTCCAGGATGGTGTTTGTCCAGGCTGTCGCACGAGGTCTGGGGCCCAGCGAGAATCCCAAACACAGGACAGCCTTCACGAGCCCTGGCACTGGCACCTGGAAAGCACGCCTTTCCTCCGCAAGGGGTCGGTAAGTCGACTCGGGTCCAAGGTTCCTGTCACCAGCACCTTGCACTTCGGGAGGTTCAGTCCTGATCCGACTGCGCCGTCAAGCGTCAACAAAAGAGAACGTGCAGGATGTTCGAGGACACAACAAGCCGTATCTTCGGTATGGGCGCGGATACGAGGAATTTGGCCAGTAAGTTTCATTATGAGCCAGCGGAGGATCGGGTCGAGCGCGTAGGTAACCAGCAGCATGGAAGCAGGGTCTCCTTGACGAGCCCCATGACGGGCGGCGAACTCACTCGGGGAAGCTCCAGGAACACCAATGATAGTGACGTTATCGCGGTAGGCTTGCTCAGAGAACCGGCGATATCACGGACCTCCCATGACTTCCCACAGCCGTAAGCACCACCAGGATCCAGGATGCGGTAGTTGATGGGAAAGCAGTTCGAGAGTACGTAAAGAGAGTTTCCGACCAGTCGCGATCCGTATGAGCATTTGCTTAAGTCTTCAGCATTCGGTTTCCATAACTATGTCCAGGAGCCCCTTGCCGGCATCTCCCCACGCTGAATCGTGTCGATCGTCTTGCCCGCTGTACTGAATCTGAACCGCCCCTTATGCCACTAATCCAGGATCTCTGCAGCCGCGCATTCTCGGAGACATGAATGAAAGTGTGTGTGTGTGTATATATATGTATGTATGTAGAGGCACCTTTTCATCGATACATGTACCGATATATGTGTGTATGAATCGAAGACGCCTACGGCGAACCACCGCCGCCCCCTGCCTTTTTGGAAGCGCCCATGTGGCCGAACGTTGAGGCCAGACCTGCCAAGCCATCGGACCATGTGTTCCCCGAATCGGTTTGGAAAGCCTTCGGGGAACACGTGGGCATCTTGAAGGTCATCTTGGCCGCCTTGGAGGCCTCTGGGGCGATCTTTCGGCGATCTTTGGGGGCTCTTGGGCCGTCTCGGGCCGTCGGAAAGCCGAAAAGAAGGAAATGTCAAATTCCGTCAAAAACCACAGGAAAATCAATGTTTTTGGCCTCTTCTGGCCTTCCTGGAGGCCCTCTTGGGGGCCTCTTGGGCCGTCTTGGGCCAGCTTCGAGCCAACTTCGGCCATCTTGGTGGGTTCCTGGCACGTCTGACGCCGTCGGGAGCAGTCTTGGGGGCCTTTCGGGGCCAACGGGGGACCCTCTTGGGGCGCTTGGGGGCCGTCTTGGAGGCCATCTTGGGCGTCTTGGAGGCCATCTTGTGCGTGTTGGAGGCCTCTTGGGCCGTCTTGGGACCCTCTTGGGGATCTTGGAGGCCACTTGGGCCGTCATGGGGCCCTCTTGGGGGCCTCTTGGGCGATCTTGGGGGCCTCTTGGGCCGTCTTGAGCCGTTGGAATGCCGAGAAGAAGCAAATTCCAAAATCCTTCAAGGACCTAAGGAAAATCAATGATTTTTGCCTCTTCGGGCCCTCCTGGAGGACCTCTTGGAGGCCTCTTGGGCCGTCTGGGAGGCCTCTGGGGGGCCTCTTGGGCAGTCTTGGACTCTCTTGGGCCGTCTTGGACCATCTTGGGCGGACTTGGAGGCCATCTTGGGCCATCTTCGCGATTGTTTGAGGATGTCCCGAGCGAAACGGCCGGTTCCGGAAGGATTTTTCGTGGAGTCTGTGTCCTGGGCAGGCCTCCCGGTACCCCGGCGGGACGGGCCGAAACCCATTGGGAGAGTCCTTTTCGAAAAAGAACCAAAACCAAAACCGAGAGGTCTAGCACGCCAGGCACCCCTGCGATGAATCGACAGGGGGCGGCGGATAGAAGGCTTTCGGCCCATTCCGCCATCGTGCATGGGCTGTGGGTCTGAAGCCTATTGGATGGTCGTTGGAATCTCGTGGGAGGTCTCTCGGGAGCTACTTGGAGGCAGTTTTGAGGCCTAGGGCCATTTTTGTGGCCTAGGTAACCCTGGCCTAGCCCTGCTACCATCTGCTTTGACCTGCTTAGTTGTGGTAGACCTGAGCTCTGGCAGGCGTTAGAAAGCCCTGCTAAGGTTTGCGAAGACCTGCCACGATATGGCAAGCCTTGCCGAGCCATGCTAAATTCTGCGAAATCCTAGAAAGCCCTAGTAAGCACTGCTAGGCTCCCCCGCTAAGCATTGCGAATCTCTGCGAGCACTTGCTCAGCCCTGCGCTCGCTCTGGTACGGCCTGCCGAGTAGCGATGATAATATGCCCAGTTTGGCCTCGCTACGCCAGGCTAAGTCGTAGCAAGCTCTGATAAGCAGAGCTAAGTGCTAAGCCCTGCTACGACCTGCTAGCCGTTGACAGAGCTTGGTACACCTTCCTCGCCCGTCCCAAGCACTGATAATCCCTGCTAAGCCTTGCTAGGTTCTGCCAGGCCCTGCCAGGCATGCACGTTCCAGGCTTTCGCGTTTCATGTACGCAGTGTATATTAACCAAAGGGGAACAGAAAGAGAGCGACAGAGAGAGAGAGAGAGCCAGAGAGAGAGAGCGGGAGAGAGCGAGAAGACAAGGATAAACATCAAGGGATGGGTGAAAGCTTGTACAACTCTCCAGAAACCCCGAGGGACTTCGCAATTCCCTGGTCTCCGCGTCTCCCTTGTCCCTCCCGTTCCCCCTGTGGCCTATCAGGCAGCCGCGCCCGCGGCCAAGCCCAGCACACCTGTCCGGCAGGCTCCGCGGCCGCGGCCTCGCCTCACCTGTTTTTGCTTGCAGGCGAGATGGGGCGTGAAGCAGAGCCGGCCCGCGCGAGCCAGAGGGTGCGCCCCCGCGCTCCCCCACACGTGGCAGTGGAAGCCGGCGGATGCACGGCCCAAGCCCGTCCAGCCGACACACCTCGCCACGGGGAATAGGGGTCCCGAGGTTTTTCCCCCGTGTTCGGGCTCTCCGGGCCCTCCGCGGGCCCAGGGGGCCGACAGAAAGCACCTCGGGATGAAGGCCTCGTCCTGGGGGAAGGCCCCCCGGGGTCCTGGACCCGCTTCCTTCAGGACCTGTTTCTCCCGTGCGAAGCCTTCCCGCGCGCCCCGCCGCTCCGCAGACCCCAACCCACAGCACATCTCTCGTCCGGCCTGTGCCGCGCCCCCTTCCCGCCAGGCAGGCCGCAGTGGGAGGGCTCGCTGCGACAGTGCGCAGTCAGGAGCACGGGGTTGCTGACGGCCGTGCGGCTTCTGGGTGGTGATTTTGGCGCGTGCTGTGCCGCGCGAAGTGCGCACGATGCTGACCTCGCAGCAGGTGCTGCAAGCTGGCGTGCACCAGCTGCACAGCTTCCAGCCAGCGTGAGGGGAACACGACGCGCGATGGATCCAACGACTCGCGGCGCAGAAGTCAGGCCTGCCGCTGCACCCGACACCGTGGGCCCATACAAGCTTATTCGACTAGACGTAACCTTCCGCTGGAGTGACCTTTGGTGCGGGCCCAATGGGGTCCCCCGATCGCCGAATGCGAGGCGGCAGTGGCGTCTTGCGCGCTTGTGTTTGCCCCCCCCCGCGGACCCCCAAAAGTCGCGCACCAAAGGTTACTCTTACCCAGGGTTACTCTTGCATGTAGTCGATTTATGAGATCCCTTGCGAAGTGAGCATGACGTTCAGCGCGCATTTGAGTTCATCACGGATTGTGGGTGGGATGGGTGTCTGGCAAGATGCAGCACATGCGGTACGTGAGTGATTTCCCACGCGAAGTGGACACGATGTTCATTGCGCACGTGCTTTATTCACTGAGTTGCTTGTGCGCGTAAAACATCGTGCAGTACACATTGCTTTTGGAACGCAGTTCGACGCTACAGCATTGGTTCTGCGGGGTTTCACAAGGCTGGCATGGACAAGATCTCCCGTTGTCGCAGGAGGGAGGAGAAGAAGGAGGGAAGCAGCTATACTGCTCGACACCGCAGGTCCAGAAGCTCTCCCTGGCAGATTGCACGTTGATCAGCGCCCAGGCGTCCAAGGTCAAGCCGCTCTCCCTGACAGAGCACACACAGGGTGGGGCACAGGCCCCCGAGCCTTGTTGCCCTCTCTCTTCCTTTCTCTCTCTCTCCTTACTCGTGGTCGCTGGGGTCGTCGCCTTCTCTTCCGAATGGCTTTGCGGCGGACGGACGTGGCAATCACATTGCCCATGTTGCGTCTTCTATCTTTTGATAAAAGATCACACGTGCGGGGCAAGCCAGCGATTCTGGCGCCTCTTCGTCCTGATCCTAGCAAGGTAAGGTTTGCGGTTGCTCTTTATACATAGGGAGGCGGGCACCTACAGGCATACAGTCGACCCGCAGAGTAAGGATAGGCATCCCTCCCCAGGGTACCCTTGCATCCTTGCTTCCTGGGTCCAATCTTGACCACTTTCGTTGGCCGCGCCCCGCTCGAAACGCTTCGAAATGGGCGTCCAATGGCCTTGCATCCGTATCGCGCATCCTTGCTCGGCGGGTTGACTGTACATGTATATGTATACATATATACATATATATATACACAAGTCTAACATGTGATCGATATCTGAGACATGTGTACAGGTATATGTAGCACCCCGCAGTTGCGGATAAGAGCGAGGGGGCGGCGGGGACGTCGGCAGTCTGCTAGGCTTTGAAGAAGCCCGCCGCAGGCGCAACATTTTTCAAGCTGTACAACGAGCCCGCTGCAGGCGCCGATTTTTTGGTAAATTAATGTAGGTGGGTCGCGGGTTTGGTCGCAGGTGGGTCGCGGGTGGGTCGACGGTGGGTCGCAGATGGGTCGCGGGCCGGGTCGGGGACGACGACAACAACAGCAAGCAGAATCCTCACCATTGATCCGCACTTCAGCCACGCACCCAGGGACAATGAATAACCGTTCGGCCCCCTCATTCTGATGTACATACGTCTCATGTGTACGAGATGATGGATTTACCTATATGGCTATACATGTGTATGTATGCTTACGTATTCCTGTGTGTACATGTGTGTGCATATGTATTTACACATGTAGAATATGCCTATACACATTTGTATGTATATACATGTGCATCTGTATGTACGGGCATGCACATGACTATGCATGAACGTACGTATTAATGCATATGTCAGACCACAATATTGCTTGTAATGTCTCATGTCCAATGTACATATACATATATCTGTTTATAGTGTGCGATTGTATGGGAGGGAGGTGAGGGGGTGAGATCGAAGTGGAACGGAGAGCCCCCCTACCGGGACATCGGTTTCGGTTTCGTGTTCGTGCGTGCCGTGCGTGCGGGCGAGGCGAAACTGCGTGGGCGGGCGAGAAGAAAGTCTCCTGTGGCTGAGGCGCGGCCGGACCAAATGACTCCCTTCCGGCAACCGGTGGCCCGCGGTGTCCCGCTGGTGTCCCGCCTCAGGCTGAGGCGCGGCCGGACCAAATGACTCCCTTCCGGCGTCCAGTGGCCCGCGGTGTCCCGCCGGTGTCCCGCCGGTGTCCCGTCGGTGTTCCGATGATGATGTGGATGATGGTGATGGTGGTGATGATGATGGTGTCCCGATGATGATGATGATGATGATGATGATGATGATGATGATGATGATGATGATGATGATGATGATGACGATGACGATGACGATGACGATGATGATGATGATGATGCTGATGCTGATGCTGATGCTGATGCTGATGCTGATGCTGATGCTGATGCTGATGCTGCTGCTGCTGCTGCTGCTGCTGATGATGATGATGATGATGATGATGATGATGATGATGATGATGATGATGATGATGATGATGATGATGATGGGGGCGCGTGCACGGATATGATTAAGCGGGGAGTGGGGTGTCGTCCGCCAGCGAATAGCAGGGAGCTTTGCGACCGCAGCCCTTCTCGGTTCTCAGGCCATGGAGTGGCAGGCGCCTCCGAACCTTCCTTTGTGGCTGGTTCTCTGGTTGCAGCTCGGCGAGCTCGTGCAAGAGCAGCTCTCGCAGGCCGTGCGGGAGCGCGAGCTGGCGGCGGCTCGCAACTGGACGGCGAGCGGACCCGCCGCCTCCTCCGCCCCCGCCGCCACCGCCTGCCGCGCCAGCGGCCGCGTGGACGGCGGCGGCCGAGTGCCCCGCCTGGGAGCCTGCTGCGCAGGAGTGCCCCGCGCCCGCGCCCGAGCCCCCAGCAGGCTGGGAGCGCGGCCCGCTGCTGTGGTGGGCGGGGCAGGTGCTCGGCGGGGCCGCGTGGCACGTGTGGCAGGCGCGGCGAGGAGCGAGGGCAGCGACGGCGGCGACAGATGGCGAGAGCTCACGTGCCGCAGGGGAGCAGGAGTTCTGGCGTGAGGCGGCTGTGGGCTCGCGGGCCCGCGTGAACTACTCAGATGATGATGTGGACCACGAGAGATATCTGGTATGGCCAGCTCGACGTGTGCGCGAAGACGGGTCTGGCTTAGAGGACGACGAAGTGTGGTGGGTTCTCTCGCCCGACGGAGACGTGTGGAAGGAACGGCTCGACGGGGGAGATCCCGTCACAGGGGCCCAGCGGGGTTCGGCCGATGCCGAACGTCGGATACCCATTGCTTGGCGCTCGACGGCTGTACAAGTTCAGGGACAGGCCGAGTCACGAGCAGATCATGACGCTAAGCAAAGGTTGCCTCGACGTCGAGACGGCGAGGGGACAGAAGCAGGAGCAATGGCCAAGGTACGTTATCGGGGACGACGGTCATCGAACGGAACTGTCGGCGTTTGTGCGTGCAGCTCGAGCTGATCTGGCTCCTATGGCGGACGCCTCGCCCCCTTCCGGCACGATTTGGGTGCTGATGGAGCCAGCCGGCGGACGGGCCATAGGGGGGGAAGTGCACATGACACCGACGGACGTGATTATTGGCAGTGACGGGCTGAAGTTCATGGGTTCGGAGGTGTCTCGAGTGCGTCGAGTGGGTGTCGGAAGTGCGCCCGCCTTGGCTATCGAGCAGATAGCGCGCCTGCGCCGAGCCATAGACGTATTGAAGCCTCAGGTCGACCGATCGGTGGAAAAAGGAGTGAAGGACCAGCTCGGGCTGAACACTGGCGAGACCGTGGGCGAAACTGGCAGTGGAGAGGCGCGTAGAGCGACCAGCAGCGTAGACGACGTGCGAAACCTCAGCGTGGACTTCGACGGGCACGGGGAAAGGTTCAAGGATTGGCGCAGTGTGGTGAGTGAGATCACGGCCGAGAGTTTTCCCGACGACCCGATCGAAAGGGCCCGCGTCGAGCGTCCACCTGGCGAAGGCCATGTACAAGAGCGGCGGCGACCCGATGCGCTGGCCGGCCGAATGGAGCCGAGAGCACCGCATCGAGCGCACGGATCGGATCTACCACGAGCTGGAGGTTCTCTGCCACGCGTTGCTGCTAGCAGGGGCCTGCGACCAGGTGAACTTGGGCGGCCTGCGGTCGCTGGAGAGGCTCGCGAGGCGAATTCAGGTGACCGCTGACGCCCACTCTGTGCCTGGAGCTCCAGCCAACTGGCGGATGGCCCGCTACCTCACAGGCGCGATGGGCCCTGGAGACGTGGTGGCGCCTGAGCTGCGCAGCTTCGGTGCCAAGCGGGCCAAGGAGGACACCGAGTTCTTGAACGCTCGGGTTCGAGGCCTCACGGCGGCCGAGCGGCCCAAGTCAGAGAAAGGTGACGGCAAGGGCGACAAGAAGGGGCCGAAAGGGCCGACGAAGGCTCCCGACGTGACCGCGTCGGGGGCTGACAAATGACGATGGAAGGAGTGGCCGTTGGACGTGGTCCAGCCAGCGGCCTCGAGTTTGCAGGGCCGCCTGGGCCGTGGCCTGGGGAGGGCGTTCGCGACATCTTCCCGCTGCCAGGGAGGGAGGAGCTCGTGGGCCATACGGCGTCAGGGCGAGGTCGGTGTCGACCTCGTCAGCGGCGTTTTCATGATGTGTTGGTGAACGAGGCGGTTGACAGCCGCAGTTGGCTGGCAGGGGCATCCGCGGGGGCCTCCGCGACGCCCGTGACGGCCGTGCAGCTCGACGTCGCGCAGCGCATCGATGGGCAGGTGAGCGACGTCGCGCAGCCGATGCGAGGCGTGGGGCTGCAGCCTCCGCATTCAGCCCTGCGGGAGTTGATGCGAGGGCGGTCGCCTTACCTTGGCGGCCCTCCCGAGGACGCGCTCGCCCCTTACCGACCTGGGCTGCCGTCGCTTCCCGAGAGCATCGCCGAGGCGCCCGCCCCCGTCGGTGCAGTTGCTGACAGCGGAAGGTCTCTCGGCCTTCGAGCCCGAGGAGGACGAGGGCGCCGAGGACCACCTGCAGGTGGCCTTCCAGGCGGCGCTCGAGAACGTGGAGTTCTCGGCGGGGGTGGCGGACGTGAAGGGCGCCTTCCACCGCATGCGGCTGCCGCCCTGGATGAAGCGCTTGTTCGGCCTGCCCGCCCTGAAGGCGGGGGGCGTCAGGCTCCACGGGGCGATGCTGGAGTGGAAGGTGCTCGGCTACGACGGCGTCACCTTCCCTGTGCCCGAGGCTCTCCCGATGGGATGTACGCGGAGCCTGCGCCTGTGCCAGAGCGCGACGGAGCTCCGCTGTCTGTTCGCGCCAAGCTTGCGCGGCGGCGCGCCCCTCAGCGACGCGGGGAAGCCACTGGTGCTCAGGTTGGCGGCGGGCACGGCGCAGATCGAGCACTGCGTGCACGTCGACAGCATGGGCGTGATCGGGCAGAACGGGGGGCGCGTGAGCAGCAGCCTCGGCGAGCTGGCGCAGGCTTTCGAGGCCGTGGGTCTACGCGCCCACGGGCGTGAGGTTCGGAGTGACGGCATCGAGGTGCTCGGCGTCGTGCTGGACGGCCAGAGATTGCAGACGCGCCCGACGGCGAAGAGGCTCTGGAGGGTGCGCCAGGCGATCACAGGGCTGCTCCAACTTCGCGCGGTCCGTGGTGATGATCTGCGCGTCTTGCTGGGGCATTGCACGTGCCTGGGCCTGGTGCGCCGCCCCGTGCTCTGCGTCTTTCACTCTTGTTATCGGCTCGTGACTAAAATGAGCAAATACTCAGCATCCCTTTGGAATAGTTGCCGAGAAGAGTTGAAGGCGTTTCGGGGCCTGCTTCCCCTGATCGTCTCAGATTAGTGGCTGCCATAGTATCGATGGGCGCAGTGTTCGGATGCATCGGAGAGTGGGTTTGGTATTGCGGGGATCTTCTGGGACCTCGAGGCTCTCAACTCCGTGGGACGCTGGCGGGGGAGGTGTCGGTTCCGTGCCGAGGGGGGGGGGGGCGCTCGTCGCTCCGCCCTCCTCTGCCGCGGGTCTTGGAGAGTTTCTGGCTGCCAGGGGGGAGGGCGTCGCTCTCTGTGTTGACGAAGGCGAGAAGGCCTCGACCGAATCCACGCTGCCCAGGGGTGACTACGAGATGGACCCCGAGTCCCGTGAGGTGCCCAGCGCTCTCCTGTCTCATCAGCTTTGGCGTAACGTTGGCCAGGGGACGTGGAGGTACTGTGAGCACATTGGCAGTCTAGAGTCCAGGGCCCTCGTGAAATCCCTGAGGCGCATTGCACTCACTCGTTTCGGCCTCAATGCCAGGCAGATTTTGTTAGTGGATACCCTAGTTGTAGCACTAGCGTTTGGAATATGTAGGTGTCGTAGCCTCGCGATATCGCGACATATTTGTAAATTCGCTGCCTATCTTTTAAGTCGAAGCCTTAGGGCAATCGTCCGCTGGGTTCCAAGTGGGCTCAGCAATAGTGACGAAGGTTCGCGGGCCGACGGTGGCGAACCGTCCAAGATTCTAACGCGTCTCTCTCTGTCTGCCTTTTCTCTTCCTCCTGAGTCGAGTCCCAGGGGCGAGGATGAGTCGAATAGTATATTTGGCGACGCCCCCCCCCCCCCCCCCGTGTCCGTGCGCGCCGTTCGGCCCCCTTAAGCTGTCGGCGCGTTGAACCTGGGTCAGTTCTAAAGTCAGCCAGTTCTAATTGCAGCACTGCCGAATGCGAGCAGGCGAGTAGCCCCGTTTCAGTGCGCACTGCAAGGGCTCTGGAAACAAACGAGCATCACCGCCACCCCTCCTCTCTCGTCCTCGGCCCCCCCTGCTCCTCTGGATCCGAAGGGCCCCCCCCTGCGTCTCTGTCTCACTCCGTAGCCGTATTGGCTCAGGCCGTTGTTGACGCCTCGGACACTGCAGAGGGCTCGGCCGATTGCGACGGGCCCTTCTCCAGCAGCAGAGCCATCGTTGGCGTCGCGGCTGAGGGTGCCCACGCGGGAGAGAGCTCGAGGCGCGAGCGGGGCCTCGCTGGAAGACCGAGGGCCGCCTGTGCCAGCGGAGGGCTCGCGAGTGCAGTGCCTGGAGGCGGCGGCGGGGGTGCAACCTGCCGCCATCCGAAGGCGCGACGCTGGAAAGCGGGCTCGGTCGGCTGGGGAGAGCTCGAGCGGCACTACCAGCGAGTTCGAGGCCGCCGCCGAGCTCAAGCGGCAGAGGACACTAGTGAGACGTGTGAAGAGGCGGCACCTTGCGGGAGAGCGGGCGATCGAGGACGAGGTGACGCTCGACCGAGACTGGGCGTCGAGCACGGTGGCGCCGCGAGCGAGGGCCCAGCACGGGAGAGTGCTCGAGCAGCTGAAGCAGAGATGTGGCCGCCAGGCCTCTTCCGAGATGCCAGTGGAGGCGATGGGCGCCTGTCTGGCCCGCGACTTCACCTCGCTGTACCTGCTGGGCGAGCAGGCTTCGGCAGGGAGGTATGTCGTTACGACTGTGAACCATTTCTACCCAAAATTTGGACGCCTGGGAGCAGACACGCTACGCCCTGGCGACATAGTGAGACCAGGAGGTGGCAGTCAGCATGAGGGGCCCCTCGTGCGCCCCCAGGAGCGAGCAACGCCCGGCGAAGTGGGGGAGTTCGACCTGGGCGCGAGGCTGGACTCCTCGTGGCTACGGATAATCGGGCCAGTCCTCAGCGAGATGCAGATGTTCGATCCTCGGAGGCCTGGGCGGGACTTCGACTGCCCCGAGCTGCTGCGCAAGATAAAGGCGGCCTGCCGCATGATCCAGCTGCGGCCCGTCCCGCCTCACCAGGCGCGGCGCTCGGGGGCGGGCATCGACCGTGCCAGCGGCGAGAGCGCAGGCGGAGGTGCAGCGACGGAGAGGCTGGCGCCCGTTGAAGCACATGGTGCGCTACGAGGAGAGCGCGCGCCTCGGGCAGCTCGCGCAGATACGCGGGCCGATGCTGGAGGCGCACGGCGACCAGTGCTTGCGCGAGTTGGAGCGCGCCTTGGTGTAGGGGCGAGAGGTGCCTCCGCCAGGAGGCATCCAGCCCTCGCCGAGCGGTGCAAAGCGCTCCTGATCGGGGACGGGCTGACCACGATCGGGTCGGGCCTCGCTGAGGTTGGGGTGCCTACCTGGATGTGGCGAGGCGACACCCTCGGTGACGAGCGGCTGGGCGCGCCCCTGGAGCGCCGCCTTCAAGCTCACCTGCGGCATGGTGAAGTAGCCGTGCTTTTCCTGTCGCTCGCGTTGCCGTCGGCGAGCAAAGCTGCGGGTGGGCTAGCAGGCCACCGCCGACTGCGGAGGTTTGCGGAGAGATTGGAACGGTTCATCGCCACAGCGTGGCGAGCTCGCGTGCCGCTCCTCCTGGAATTACCCCAGGGTAGCCGGCTCTGGCCACATCTCGTTAGCCAGCCCGATGCGCCAGACAGTTCCAGGGCGACAGTTGTCAATGATAGATGCATGTTCGGAGCCCCGTGGAGACACCGTTGAATATACATGCACGTCGGCACGGAGCCCGAAGACATAGCGATATTGGCTCGTACTTGTCACAGCTGCACAAGTATTTGTGATAGGATTGGCGTCCCTCATATCCGCCTGCGGGGCAGGGATCAACTCGGTGTGAGCCATGCTAGTTACTCGCTCAAACGCACAGCGTTTTTTAACCAAGCGCTCACTCACTCCCTCCAGTCCCTCGCGAGAGCCTCCATCTATAATGCTAGCCCTGTGTGGGGGGCAGGGGGCTCCCGCGCAGCGGGGGAGGGGTTCGTCTGACTGTCTTCGCTTCCCTCAGAGCGGGGCCTCCTCGGCCCCTCGCCCCAGAGCTCTGGAGGAGCAGCTCGCTGATCGCAGCGAGCCGTCATTATCCGAACCCGTTTCCCCGCTTAACGAAACAGCGTATCACGGGGGTGCGTGCGCGGATGCGATTAAGCGGGGAGCGGGGTGTCGTCTGCCAGCGAATAGCAGGGGGCATTGCGACCGCAGCCTTTCTCGGTTCTCCCAGCCCGCCCAACCCTGGAGGGGGCTCCCGCGCAGTGGGGGGGGGTTCGTCTGACTGTCTTCGCTTCCCTCAGAGCGGGGCCTTTTCGGCCCCTCGTCCCAGGGCTCTGGAGGAGCAGCTCGCTGATCGCAGCGAGCCGTCATTATCAGAACTCGGCTCTCCGCCTAACGAAACATCGCATATGATGGTGATGAGGATGATGATGAGGTGTTGCTGATGTTTCTGATGATGGTGACCCGGTGGTTTTCATGATGCTGATGTTGATGATGATGATGGTGCCCCAGTGATGGTGATGGTGATGATGATGGTCCCGATGACGGTGGTGTCCCGATGATGATGATAATGGTGTTGATGATGGTGTTGATGATGATGATGGGAATGGCAATGATGATGATGATGATGATGATGTTGATGATGTTGTTCATGATGGTGATGATATTATGATGATGATGATGATGGCGGTGTTCCGGTGATGATGATGATGATGGTGTCCCGATGATGATGTTGATGATGGTGATGTTGGTGACGATGCTGGTGTCCGATGATGATGCTGATGATGATGATGATGCTGTTGATGATGATGGTGATGAGGTAATGATGACCGTGTCCCGATGATGATGATGGTGATGACGATGGTGATGTTGATGACGTTGATGACGATGTTGTCGATGATGATGATGATGACGTTGATTGTGAGATCGATTGTGATTTCGAAAAATGAGATCGATAGTGAGACCGACTGTGAGATCGATTGTGAGATCGATGGTGAGATCGATTGTGAGATCGATTGTGAGATCGATAGTCAGATCGATCGAACGAAATAGACCGAATGAGAGAGATCGATTGTGAGATTGATCGGGTGAGATCGATCCAGCGAGACCTCCAGTGATATCGATAGTGAGATCGATAGTGAGACCGATCGAGTGAGACGTTGGTTCCGCCCCCCCCCCGAACCTCCTTATCAACCGAAAAATGATCGTATAGGTATGTTTATATGTTTATATGTATAAACATATGTATGCAACGCATATATACGCATGTATGCAGATGCAGATGTACATTGTATGCATATGCGCGCGTATAATATGTATGTGCACGTGCATCTACCTCCACATACGCATAAATGTATGTGTATGTATGTGTCGGAGGTTGGGGGGGTGAGATCGCAGTGGGACGGAAAACCCCAATCGGGAAATCGTTTCGTGTCGTTCGTGCCGCGCGGGCGGGCGAGGCGAAGCTGCGTGGGCGCGCGAGAGGAATGAACCCGCCGTTGCCAGGGCGCAGTCAACACTAACGGTTCTCCTCCGTCCGTCTGGCGGTGGCCCTATCTGTGTCCCGTGGTGTCCCGTGGTGTCCGCCGTTGCTAGGGCGA